AAGAGCGGCAGACCTTGGACGTGGCTTCGAAGATTCCGAGGCTGCCTGAGCGCGGAAGCTTCTTCGGACCTGCGGGACGGCCTGCTGCGTCAACGCTCTGATGTTGGCCTGGCCTTCGATCAGATGTCGGGCAGGCGCGGAACGAGCTGGGAGTCTATTTTTGGGGAATGATCTTAAAAACAAACAAATAAACGCTGGACATTTGGGGAAGAGCTTCTCTTGAGGGAAAGTACGGTTTTCAACTGGGATGAACGGAAAAGCTACCATTTCGGGAGCCTTTGTTTTGCTTTTTGGGGGATGACAGTTGCCAGCCAAGCGAAACCTATATTGGGCTGTGACCCATGGGTTTTGCTTACAGGGACGCCACAGGGACTGCCCAATCGAGGGTTGCGGGTCAAGGCATTTAGGTCAAAAGGCCAAATGGTGCCAACACCCTTGTGGTGTTGGGAGCTGATTTGGGTTGTTTCCCTTCATCCATTTTGCGGATAGTTTTCAGGATGTATCGGAGACTCACGGGGACGGCCCCTTGTTTGACTTCGGTGTTTCGTTTGTTGCCATAGAGGTTATTTTGATGGTGCTAACTAGGGAATGATGAAATGAACCTGGGGATTACCGGTTTTGCTTGGATTCCCGAAAAAAGGACACCATAGAGGACTTCTGTCCGGACCAGATTCGATGCGTTCCAACAAAAATAAAGACAACAACAAAAAGCCGTTCCAACAAAAAGAAGAAACAAGAAAAACCAACTCACAAGGCCCTTTCCGCCAGGAACCAGTCCAAGTCCACGCTGACCTCCAGAGTGCACGGCTCGCTCCGCCGCCCCAAGGAAGAGGCGGGGGGTTGGGGGAGTCGCAAGATTTCCACGCCGCAGAGGCGGGAGGGAATCCATTTGGGTGTGGTTGTCAAAACCGCTTTGAGATCCCATTTTGGGGTAGGTGAATTCGCCACCTATTTTAGGACCTGTTTTAGTGGGAATTCGGATGTTCACTAAAGGTGCGGGATTTTGACCCATGGCCATGTGGGTGTGTTCTCAGCATGGGGCATCCCCGTTGCGGATGTGTGTGTGTGTGTGTGTGTTTCTTTTTTTGTGAATCCGAAAGGAAACCACCTCGAGCGGCCTCACACGAGGCATATGTTCCCGTTGCCGATGGACCCCACCAAAATCTCTCAAAGGGCAATGGTCCAAGTCAGGGCCAATCAGTCAGGTTCCAGGCTAGTATGACGGGGGTACCTACTCCCGAACAGAAGGCCAGGGACGTGGGTGGTCTTGGTTTCAGCACTGCCGGCTGGGACTTTCTGATTCTGCCAAAAAAGACTTCCTGGGCACTTTCAATGGGGCCCGGACGCTTGGATTGGCTGGACATAGGAAAAAACGCCACTCCCCGCCAGTTCGTTCTTCCACACTGCACCCGGGGGCGGGGGAGGGTTAGAATGGGTCAAGCTCCATGTGGGAAATTGTGCCTGGTTCCTTTTGTTCGGCGGGTTGCAAACAAACGGGTTGGTCTTAAAATTGGGGAACCCCCCAAACTAAATTTTGGTTCTCCTCTTTGAAATCCTCTTAAGGCCAACTAAAAAAGGTCACCCGAATAAAATAGGCCACCCCAAAGGAAATCCTTTTCCCCATGACCACTGGAGGTCCGGGAAATTGCTCAGCCAGTTTCCTTTGGGAGGTATTGTATGGAACCCAATCCTAGGCTGTTTCTGCACTGACAATCCCCGTGGTGCGTTGAATAAGGGGCGGGGGGGGGGGGGGCAAAATGGGCCGTTTTCCTTTTTGGTCTCCCTTTTAAACCCAGATCCCTGGACCTAGCCGGACCGCCCATGCGATTCCTGAAATTGAGTTACAAGCGGAGCTGCTTCATTTCAGGTGATGTGTTTGCCTCGAAACATGGAAACTCAGGGGATTGGCTTTTAGAGCTCTGGATCTTTCTGTCTTTCCCCTAGGCTTCCAAAGGCCATTAAAAGAATGGTCGAGGTCGCTAGACTGTTTTTTGCCGAAAGACCGTTTTTTGCGCCTGGCCCTGAGTATCCAAGAAATCATGGTGTTTGTTGCCCAAGAATTGCGTGGGGTCAGGTCAAGCCCCCTTGGTGCCATCGGCAAAAGTCACCTTGCTTTTGGCTCCGCGGACAGGTGACTTTCAGCTTCAAGCGCAAAGCGCGCCTTGGGCGCATCTCTGGGCGCGCGGCCGGTTTTGTCGGTGTGGCCCAACGAAAAGAATTGGTTTCCAGCTAAGGGCCTTGGTTGCTGAGGCTTCGAATCAGCTTATGCTGGAACCCAACAAAGCGTTTGAGTCTTCTTTGGGGAAATGGACTGCGTTTCAAGGTTCGGATTTAGGCTGACCGCGAGTCTCCTTGGACATTGCTTGATAAATTGTAAGGTGGACCAAATATGAAACAGAAGCGGAAGATATGATTTTTGGTGTATGGAACTTGGAACCCCACAAACCTTCCGTTTTCAAAGGAGCCTTCTTTTCCAATGGATCTATGTTTTGGGCTCAACAGAATGGCTTGGGGCACTTTGTAAAGGGTTCCCGACCCCCTTGGAAGACACGCCCAAGCCGGCCGTACTTGGGGCGAACGAGCTTCCGTGCGGTGCCATGCAAAGGGAAGCCCAAGGAGCACCTTCCCAACAGCCTGGCACCATGGGCGGATTGACTCAGAGCGGTCGTGGATGAACAAATATGACTCATCGAAACGCACAAGGCGCCCGAAAGCGTTGAACTAAACCATAGACGGTTGGACCGGAATGAAGGTCCCCGGCTTTCGCACTGGAGCAAGTCCCAGTTGTTCCGAGGATTCCACCGTTTTTCCTTGTTTGTGCGTGCCCGCGTGAACATGGTCAGCCCCAAAACCAGCCTCTGTTGTTCGGTGGTTTGATGCTTAGGTAGACCAATCCAATCCACCCAACGGAAGGTCATCTGAAGAAAAATTATTTTCCGCGCGAACTGCTCGCCAGGATTGTCCCCAAAGCAAATGAGCAAGGGATGCCAATTTTACGCACTTATTACCGAGCAACTGAGCAAAATTGAGGTGTCAATCACCAGCCGGAAAAAGACGAGTTCCAGAAGGAAAGTGAACACAAGGGCAACTCTTTTTTGCAGAACAAAAAGCAACACAAAGCCACATTGTTTGGGACAAAGACCCGGAAAGCGCTAGCCGCTAGCGCAAAACAACAAGGTTCCCTCAAGCCGTTCAGGTCACTTGTTGGTTGCAACGGATCAGGCGGCACAGGCCCTGTCATAGGTCTTGGGAACAGCCCTGGAGCATTGGCCAGCCTGAAAAAAAATGGCTGTGGCTCAAAAGGCCGATACCAAAATGGAACCCTGGCAAGTGGAAATATGGACCAAATCCTGCGTAACCCCTCCTGTTTAATTTTGAGAACCGCACGCATTTGAACGGATAAGGTGCGCAGGCTTCACCAACGGGGCTTCTCTGCAGAAGTTGGCGCAGCCCGAATGATGCAGCCGAACCGACGCTTGGATCGCAGTCTCGACCGGTTGCAGGCTGACAAAATTGGAGGGTGAAAGAAAAGGAGCCCAACGAGATGCTGCTCAATTGCTCACGGCCCTCGTTTTGTAGATTGGGATTACGCGAAGCACCCGTCAACAGCCAATTGGAACTGTTTTTCCTTTGATTCAGTGGGGTGATATTTTAGAGAGAAATATAGTGAGCCCTGTGGTTGCTAGGGTCCGGCACTGTTCATTGCTCCACTGGGGCGCGCGCGCAGTGGACTTTGGCGCGTCAAGGTCTTCGCAGCCTAGTGACTTAGAGTCTTATGATCCGCGGACATGGGCATGACCCATGTGTCGAAGTCGGGATATGGCAGCGAATTGTTATTTTCTCAGGACATTAAACATGTTTATTTGTACATTATACATATATATATATATATATATGCATCATGCTGGTTCTTGCTATGTAGATGTATTGGTGACATGCGTGGCTTCTTCTGTTTGTACCATCCACTTCCCGCGGCTGACGTTAGCTCCCGTTCCTCTTGGCCCTTTTCTCGGGCGCCCGAAGGGCCCCGGCGCCAAAGGCGCAAGCTCCCCAAGAACCTTTGCGCGGGAAAAATGCGATGCGCTGGAGCTATGTGATGCCAAATAGGGGGACCCCAACCCCGCCCAAACAAAAAAACATGCGGTTCCCCCTCCCCCCCTCTCAAAAAAGTACATAAACCCCCAATGCGCTGGAGCTGTGTGGCCAAATAGTCTCTTTTGCAACCAAGAAGCCAAAACACCAATATTTCAAATTAGGGAGGTTGCAAAATAGACCCGAAGTGTCCACCTTACGGGACCTCCCCCCTCCCCCGGAAAAAAAAGAAGAGGCGGTTTCTCGTTTGTCTTTCCGTTTAAACCAACGCCGAAAAGGGGCGCGAAAAAACATAGACCCCCCAAACTGGGTGGTTTGCTTTTGGTTTCTCTTTCTACCAGCCCCAATCAGGGTACCCACCAACAAAAACACGCCCACGTTTGCCTTCTTCGGTGTTCGGCCAAGGAAGTGCACTTGGCCGAACACCCGGAAGAAGTAAGGGGGCATCGACACGATGACTTCGCAGAAATCAATTGATGGCTGAGGCGATTCCTGGCGCGCGCTCTGTTTTGGGATTGTCCTGGTACCTCGAATTTGTGGGTTTGGGAACTTTGTGCTGGGCAAGATCCTTTAACAGGCAAAACACATACACCTCGAAGCATACAGTTGGTTCCCTGAACCAACAACATTGAACCACAAAGCCTCATTGCAGTAAATTGCAGGGAGCCAACTTCAAGTGAATTTCTCTTTGGTGAGATGATGCCTACAGAGGATGGGATGTACGGGAACCCTGTTATAGCAGGAAGGTGACCCTGGTATCCCTGGTGTATTGGTCAATTGACTCTTAATGAACGCGTACTGTCAGCCTTGATCAGGGGGCATCGTTTCTCCTATCATCATCACAATATAAATTAAACCCCATTGTTTTTTGGCCAGTATGTTACCGTAATCGAAGGGCCGATCGTAGCAGGATCTTCCGATGTGCACGCCGGAGAACATCAAGGAGTTCATCTCACAGCGGGACGCCCAGAGATAGCGCGGGTGGGGGGGGGGGGTGTGCGTGCGTCTTGTTCGGAGCTCTCTTTCAAGCGCCCATTACTTGCTGGTCCGACAAGCAGGGAGTGAGAAATGGAATGCCCCCGAGAAACACTATCCCCCATGATTTCCTTCAAGGGAATCCCCAGGTATTGCCAAACCCGGGGTCATTCCCTACTGGGCACCGGAAACGTTGGCCTCCAAGAAGCGCGTTTCAGCTTGCAATTTTGTTGCATCCGTTGCGTCACCCAACTCTTGCACGTAGGGTGACAGACTTGGAAGCCTTTGCAACTTCTGGGGCATGGGTTGATTCTTCCGCACACTTGTTGGGGATCGAAGTCGGGATTCCCCCGAGTTGAATTTCATGTTGATTTGCATGAGAGTAATCGCAGACAACTACCGTGGGGTTGCCATGTTTGTTGATGGACCTCTCTTGGGGTTGTTTCGAAGGGTCGCCGCTGAGAGCCGAAGTCTTCCAGACACGGGCCGTGGCTCGAAGACTTCGTTTTACCAAAGTTCCTTTTCTCAACCATGGAGATGGGCACGAACCTTTGGCTTTGCAAGAGAAAAAAGACAGTCGTCTTCCAACCGAAAAAGCCGACGAAGGGGTGGTCCGCTCGTTTTTTGTTTTTTTTCCAGCTTTGGGCCCAACAGGCACTTGCAGCCGGTGCTTTCTCTGAGTGCAAACGGGCAAACGGGCTCTCCTTCTATTCGGGTGTGGTTTTTTCCGTTTCAGCGTGGTTTAGAGGGGAAACCGAAAGAACAGCCAACCATGTTTGGGGTCCGAATCCTTGCTTGACATACTCATTTGCTGCAGGCGATGTGTGCGTGTGTGTGAGTCTGTGTGTGTCTCTGTGTCTCTGTGTCTCTGTGTCTCTGTGTGTCTCTGTGTGTCTCTGTGTGTCTCTGTGTGTCTCTGTGTCTCTGTGTCTCTGTGTGTCTCTGTGTGTCTCTGTGTCTCTCTGTGTCTCTCTGTGTCTCTCTGTGTCTCTCTGTGTCTCTCTGTGTCTCTCTGTGTCTCTCTGTGTCTCTCTGTGTCTCTGTGTCTCTGTGTTTCTGTGTCTCTGTGTCTCTGTGTCTCTGTGTCTCTGTGTCTCTGTGTCTCTGTGTCTCTGTGTCTCTGTGTCTCTGTGTCTGTGTCTGTGTCTCTGTGTCTCTGTGTCTCTGTGTCTCTGTGTCTCTGTGTCTCTGTGTCTCTGTGTCTCTGTGTCTCTGTGTCTCTGTGTCTCTGTGTCTCTGTGTCTCTGTGTCTCTGTGTCTCTGTGTCTCTGTGTCTCTGTGTCTCTGTGTCTCTGTGTCTCTGTGTCTGTGTGTCTGTGTCTGTGTCTGTGTCTGTGTCTGTGTCTCTGTGTGTCTCTGTGTCTCTGTGTCTCTGTGTCTCTGTGTCTCTGTGTCTCTGTGTCTCTGTGTGTCTCTGTGTGTCTCTGTGTCTCTGTGTCTCTGTGTCTCTGTGTCTCTGTGTCTCTGTGTCTCTGTGTCTCTGTGTCTCTGTGTCTCTGTGTCTCTGTGTCTCTGTGTCTCTGTGTCTCTGTGTCTGTGTCTCTGTGTCTCTGTGTCTCTGTGTCTCTGTGTCTCTGTGTCTCTGTGTCTCTGTGTCTCTGTGTCTCTGTGTCTCTGTGTCTCTGTGTCTCTGTGTCTCTGTGTCTCTGTGTCTCTGTGTCTCTGTGTCTCTGTGTCTCTGTGTCTCTGTGTCTCTGTGTCTCTGTGTCTCTGTGTCTCTGTGTCTCTGTGTCTCTGTGTCTCTGTGTCTCTGTGTCTCTGTGTCTCTGTGTCTCTGTGTCTCTGTGTCTCTGTGTCTCTGTGTCTCTGTGTCTCTGTGTCTCTGTGTCTCTGTGTCTCTGTGTCTCTGTGTCTCTGTGTCTCTGTGTCTCTGTGTCTCTGTGTCTCTGTGTCTCTGTGTCTCTGTGTCTCTGTGTCTCTGTGTCTCTGTGTCTCTGTCTCTGTGTCTCTGTGTCTCTGTGTCTCTGTGTCTCTGTGTCTCTGTGTCTCTGTGTCTCTGTGTCTCTGTGTCTCTGTGTCTCTGTGTGTCTCTGTGTGTCTCTGTGTCTCTGTGTGTCTCTGTGTGTCTCTGTGTGTCTCTGTGTGTCTCTGTGTGTCTCTGTGTGTCTCTGTGTGTCTCTGTGTGTCTCTGTGTGTCTCTGTGTGTCTCTGTGTGTCTCTGTGTGTCTCTGTGTGTCTCTGTGTGTCTCTCTCTGTGTCTCTGTGTGTGTCTCTGTGTGTGTCTCTGTGTGTGTCTCTGTGTGTGTCTCTGTGTGTGTCTCTGTGTGTGTCTGTCTCTCTGTGTCTCTCTGTGTCTCTCTGTGTCTCTCTGTGTCTCTCTGTGTCTCTCTGTGTCTCTCTGTGTCTCTCTGTGTCTCTCTGTGTCTCTCTGTGTCTCTCTGTGTCTCTCTGTGTGTCTCTGTGTCTCTGTGTGTTTGTGTGTGTTTGTCTCTCTCTCTCTCTCTGTGTTTTTGAGTTTGTCCAAGGAGGTGCACCCAATTTCATCCAGAAGGGTCCTTGCAGGTCCCTTATTCTGCTTGTGTCAATCCACCCATATTTTTGTCGGTGTTTTTCAAGGTCAGGATTTCACACAGCCAGATACACCCCTCATAATAAGTCCTTCGAGACCAACGACTGGAAACCATCCACCTTTCGGTAGTCGAGGCTGTTGGAAGGTGGGTGCCGGTTCTCCGCATCATTTGGGCGTGTCATGTTTTTTTTCCCCCCGAAACCCGCACAAAAACGGTTTTGTGGCTTACCTTTCAGCCAACTGCGAAACGGGTACCCCAAATGTTTTTTTTCCCCTTTGAATACCCTGAAGCAACAGACACACATACACACATATTCGCATTTTCACATTTTTCGGCCGCCTAGGGAGTGCACCCCGGACCGTCTCACCGTGGCGGGCGCCTCATGGAATCGCGGGTTCGCGGGTCCTGGGAGCCAGGGAATCGCCGGGAGCGGACTTGCTCGTTATAACTTGCGATCGGTTCGATTGGTTGGGGAATGAGAAGCGGAATGATCAGAATGACCTCCATAAACCATGTTCTATGGCTTCCTGGAAGCGAATCTTTCGGCTCGTTCCCAAAACCCGGAAGGTCAGTCCCTACCTGCCCTACCTATCGCACCAGCAAGACAATGAACATCCCTGTTCCAAGTAGACATGCGTGGGTTTTATGCGTGATAGGTGGACTTCCTTCTGGGAAGAACATGCTGAAAAAGGGGGTTCGGTGCAAAGGTTGGCTGGAAGAAACCTTGATGCAGCCGTTCTTCACGATGAACGTCACTGGTAAGTCTACTCACCCCTCAGTTCTGTTGAAGAATTCATGTAATGTAAACCCCTGACTAAAACTGGTATCTACCTTGGAAGACCGGTTGTGCAAATCGACCCTCTTTTCAACAATGTCCACCATCACAACCCAGCAAGCGAAGGTTAGTAGGGGACAGTCCTAGCCACAAGTAGGTGCCGCCGTCCTTTCTTCTTTACTTGGTTTTGGGTAGACCAAGTGAGTGCCAGGGTTTGATTCCTTTCGCTTGACAGGCGCCGACGCGGCCATTTTCATGGTTGTTGCATCCTCCTGTCAAGAGCTGTTGGATCCCCCGAGTGTTTGGCTCAAGGAGCCAGACGTTTGGCAGAGATGGAGAAAGCCATGCTCCGCGCAAAGCAAGCCTCTCAAGCGGACCTGTAGGCACAAAAAAGCCCTTCAACCCCGGCCGTTTGTAGAAACTTGAATTCTCCCTCTGCAGGGATGTACTTAGACCAAAATTGGAGAGGTTGCTGTGTGAAAAGAATCGGCTTTGTTTATAGTTGACAGTTGCCCCGCGATGAGCAGACATTGGCCCTGCACCTAAGGGACCTTTCGGAGAATGAGATGACACAGGTGGTTAGACCCAAACTGCAACCATGGGCCGTCTATCTTCAACCAAACTGGCAGAATAAGTGCACAGCCCTGAACCTTTAAGGGAATCTGGACAACCATCAGGGAACCATGAGACCACCCAGGCGATCTTTGATCTCAATGGGTAAACGGCTTTCTTGTCTCCAGTTTCAGGCCGGGGAGCTTAGGCAACTTGCACCTTCAAAACCAGTTCACGAGTCTAGTTGGAACCCAAACATGCTCTATATCAATACCAAGGTTAAGGGACTTATGTCCACCAACCACTTTTGAGGAGGTTTTGTAGTAGAATCCATAGTCATAGGGGCAGGGATGCGGACCCTCAAAATGGCGGTTGTGAAAATTGCATTCGCAATCAAAACCCGGGTAGATGCAGGGATAGTAAGGGAGAATCCCAAACCTAAATGAGTGCCTTCGCCGCCTTGTCAATTCTTAGCATGGCTCTGGGTATGCCATTTGAACTCTAAAAAATAATGGGGGCTGGGGAGGGAGCCCAAATAAGCCCTAAATAAGGCCTCATTAAGGGCTTAATAAGGGCTTATTTGTGCTCCCCCCCCCCAACCCCCATGAAAAACTCCGCGGACTGTTTGCAGGTGGGTGTGAACGTGGACTTTCAGGAGCTCTGCAAGTGGACTGCTCGCAGCTTCGCGGAGCAAGGCGGGGGTAGTTTTGGGTGGGGTGGGGGCTTCTGAGAGGCTGGGGCAGCCTTTGGTCTCCTCCGTGTCTTTGTTTTGAGGGGCAGTTTTTTGTTGGGGTCAAAGAGGGAGACCACCATTTTCGGAGGGGTCCTTTACAGGGGCTGGCTCCAAATCAGGGAGAACTCAGGTTCATTTTTTGGAGCCATTGCAGCCTAGTTTCGAGTGACGATAGTAGTACTGGAGGCCATAAAGGACCATTCAATGAGTGAGGGCCGAGATGTTAAGGGTTGCCCAGTTTCGACCAACTTGTGCCGATCGATTCGGTCGAATGGGAGCATGCCATACCTGAAATTGGGGGCTAGCTCCATTGGCCGCTGTTGAGCCGCTGAAACATTCTGAACCGCTACCCTTCCAAGCATGGTTCATTCTTTGCAGTGCTTTGAGGACATGGCTTCACTGTTGTTGCCAAGTCTTCGTTTTGTTTTTCTTTTTCCCCCTTTTCTGGTGCTGTTCATGTTTCGTAGGGGGCTGCATTATATAGATATATATATATATATATATGTATTTTTGCAAGCCCATGCCAAGCCTTGTAAAGATGGGATGCATGAGACGCCAGGCCAGGCGCTGCACCGGCCAGGCTCGGATCGGAGCCGGAAGACGGGGAGCTGGGGGGATCCAAGTCTTGGGGCTTTGCGTAGGGAGCTGGGGGGAGCTGCCAGGAGGTCTGTAGCGGCATAGGTTTTTGTGGGTCGTTTTTCCCCACACAAAAAAGACATGCGAAAAAAGAGAGACGTACAGATAGGTAGTTACTCGGTTGTTAATATATATATACATATATATATATATATATATGTACATATATAAAACTGCGAACGACATAGCTAGTTGTTTGTTTCTCCACAAAAACGATGAGACGTCAAGCATGCTGTTGGTTCACGGCAGGGGTTTGAACACCTTTCGCCAGGCATCTTATTTGTGAGCTTCCTCTTGGTGAAATCAAAAATGTGCTGCTCCTTTTTCGTCTACTTTTGGTCATTCGTCCATAAGTTGATCACAGGCTTGTTTTTTGAGTTTGTTTGACCTTTGGTTTTCCCGGATCCACCAAGTTGACCTTTTTCTGACAGTCAGTGGTTGGACACCCCCCTTATGCTTGCCCAATCGCCGCGCCAATCCGTTTTCTCGGACTGCGGGCCGGGAAAGCTCGCCTATGGACAAAGTTTGCAGTGCCGAATGTTGGCTGTGGCTCAAAACACCGGTACCAAAATGGCTTGCCCTGGAAAGTGGAAACATGGGTACCAAGACCTGCGGTTGGCCCCTCCTGTTCAATTTTGAGCCACACCCAGGTGAGTCGATAGTCCCTATAAGCATTGGGCTGACGCTGGGCGGCTCTGACTAATGACACCTGGTTGAAAGATAGGAGGTGCCCCTTGAAGAGGTGGCCAGGTCTATTTCGGGAGCGCAAATCGTTCAGGCGAGAAAAGTTAAGACACGTATTCGTTCAACGCAGATCCTCGCCTGAAGGGGAAAAACAACGGACCGCAGCTTAGATTCGGAAGTCTCTGAATGTGTTTTGTGAGGTTCACTAAATATTTGTCAGAATCCCAACATTCCATTTTCTGGGATCTCCTTGAAAGGTACAGTTAATTTACTGCATCAAACATACCCAAGCTATGGTTCGGTCAGACTAGCAGCACGACATGTTGCGGGTGGCCGCTGTGGCCGACCCGTTATGGGCCAAGCCATTTGAGCTCCACCAAGAGGGTGCCATCTCTTTTTCGTCCGCACACTGGCTAGGAGCTTTAGGAGTTGGAACTGGTCAACGGGATTTCCTCAACCGGACGATCCCCTAAATGATGTCTGAAGGATCGCTGAGATTCATCACAGGGTGGAATTGGCTTATGGGACAGGCATGCTTTTTCTCGGCGGCGAGGCGAGCGCGCGGCCGAGCCTGCGGTGTACACGGGCGGGGAGATTCGCATGGCTCGGCCAGGGGCCCGGCTGGGAACAGGAGGGTTCTCTTGGCGCCTGAGGCCGCAGACCAATGGAACCGCCCTTTTAACTAGAAGCTAAGCGGAAGATGGCTGGTTGCTTGCCATAGTGGCTCGATGGGAGCCACTGGGCGGGGTGGCTTTTTGTGATACAGAACTCAAAGTAAGAAACTCGTGCGGAATGGGCGACACTTGTATCGGTCTCAACTTCCACCAAGCTCAGGGAAGCCCAAGGCCTGGAAACCCAACCCAATTCCAAGGCGATTTTGTGGGAAGAGGCACCACGAGTTCGAATTTGTTCCCCAAAAGCCTTACTAAGGTCTTGCTATGGCTGTGAGAACAAAAAGACCCACGCCTGGGTTCAGGTTTCTGCAGTTTCCTGATAGGAGAGGGGCTTTGGGGCGAAAGTCGGCTGGCAAAGGAGGGTAAGTCAGGTTGGTCTGGTGGCATTCGCGTAAGTCGCTTTCTGGTTCCAGGGCCATGGGTTGTTCAAGCCCGCGCTTGGGGTCCCAGCATCCTCGAAAAGGGCGGGGAGGGACTCCAAAGAGGAGCACCAACACTTGAAACAAGGCCTGCTCCCAGCCCGGTGAGTGTTGAAAGCGCCCACCACCACCAGGGTTGCGCAGTATATATATATATATACACGCATATTTTCTACACATGTATAATATATATATATATATATATTAAGCAACCACACTTTAAAGAGGGAAACCAGATGTTGTTTAAACAATAGGTTTTGATCGCATTTACAGAGAGGAGTCACACACCAACCATGCTGTGTGCTGTGAGTAGGCCGAACCCGCTGTGCCATCTCATCTTCGGCTGGGAGGCGTGGGTGCACCCCAACAATTTGCTTTGAGTGTGAACGTTCGCAGCTGGGAACGTTTCCCTTTGATCTACCACTTGGGGGGTGTCTTTTTGAGAGTGCCTGTTTTTGTTGCGACTTGAAATGAACACCTTTTTTTTTTGGGGGGGGGGGTTCCCCTGAAGAAAGACACATACTTGTAAAAGTGACTTTGGTAAAATCACGAGGTCAGCCAATGGATACCCGAACGAAACGCCCTGGCTGTGATTTGGGTGTGGGTTGTTTTGGGGAACCCCCTTCTGGTGGTGTGCAAGGGAGATCCGAAGGGAACCAGTCATTTCTTGCGTGATTTGGAGACAACCCCATACAGACTTGAAAGGAATGGATGACCACCACAGGCAAGGGGCTTCCCAGTTTTCCAAATGCGTGTAAAAGATCCCCCCCTTACAAAGAGAATTGGGGAGGAGGGGTGATAATGGTCGTTGTAGGGCTGAAGAGGCCGATTTTGGAAGCAACAGCTAGATAGGCCCATGGTGGGGTGGTCTGAGCATCCCTTTTGGGAAAGCTCTGGGTCCGTGCTTGCGGCGCGCCTTTGTTTGGGTGGTAAGGGAAACCACAAAAAAAAACACCCACAATTTCGGGAAGCCCCCTGTTTTGACACGCATCTTTGACCCCTGCCCAAAGTTGAGGCTTGTCAATCATTTGTAGGGATTGCGGAACATTTATTTTCTTCTTTTTTTAAACAAGGTGAGCCTGTTGAGAGCGGACTACCAAGCGATACCCTTGAGCCTCAAGCTAAAAGGATTAGATCCTTTAAAAAGGTGCAACGCAAACACCCCAACATCCCCAACATCCCCCCTCCAAAAAACAAAAACTAGACTAGATCCCCGGCCTTAGTTCTACCCATCAAACATCTCCCAAGAACTCGCTCAACATCGTCCATAGCTCTGAGCCGAGCCAGGTGCCCGGGGGATGGAACGGCAAGTGGCTCGCTGCCGTGACGGCCGGATGGGGGAGGTGGATGTGCGAGCCGCTTGGGGGACGTGGCGGCCTTTTTGTTTTTGTTTTTTTTTGGAGTGAATAGGGAGGCCAGACTTTTCAAGAGTTTGTTCTTATGATGAGACCAAGTAAACATATGGGTCTACTTCTGGGTCTGAATCATTTCCATGAGCTTGCTCATACTGCAATGACAAAGTTTGCTTTTGACTTACCAGCAGTTAGGGTCTGGGCTTTGCTTCTATGCTTTATCGGGTAAAGTTGGTTATTCATCCGATTTTCCGGGCACTTGTCCCGTCAAGGCAATTGTGGCTACCGAAAGGCAAAAGGTTCGACTTGCTCTCTTATGCTGGTTTACTTGCTTTTGAAGCAAACCTCCCTTCAATCATAGGATTATTTGGGGTGCCCCCCCCCCCCCCCTTAATAATAATAAAACAAAACTCAGGCTCTAGCGCCCCACTCCCCGGCCTCCAGAGCCAAGGAGTTGGCATTTCCTTCGTTGTTTGCAAAAGACCCACATACTCATCCTTACATTGTCCCCCCCACCAAGCCCCAAACTCGAACAAGGCAATACATTAGCTTTTCTCGAAATTGGGCCCCCATCAAATATTGGTGGCTCTTTTTAGTTGCCGGCTTCCCATACAATGTTACAAAGGCGCGCCTTGTTGAAAAGTGGTTTGTGTTCGGGGCATCCCATCCCATCCTGGCGAGAGCGCTGTGTTTTCCGGCGCCACTTTCGGTGCCCAGTCGGGATCACTTCATTTTGGTCATTGCCGGGCCTAAGCTGCGCAAGGGGAAGGCTAAAACGCATGTGGGGCAGCCGCTGCATAGTGATGAGTGAACCAAGGAATCCAAGGACCACGTTAGTTGGTGGGAGGGCAAAATTACATTTTCAGAATTGCCCTCTGAAAGGTGGTGTCGAGAAACCCCCAAAAAAAGAAAAGTGAATTGGGGGGGAGAGATATGGGTCTATCGCCAAAACCTATGGCCCAAAACCTTGAAGCTGAGAGAGGGAACCCTGACATTGAACCCACCAGAAGGCCATTCCCTTTTTGCGGGGACATGGCAAGCCATCCCGGCAGCTATGGTGAGAGCCTGGCCAGTCCCCGAGTGCCCGAGTCCCCGACTCCGCAAGGTGCTGCAGATGTTCCTGGGCGGCGGCGGCTCCTTCAGCACGGGAGGGCCAGGCGAGGCGATGCGAGGGAGCTGCCAGGGCGAGCCGCGTTTCTTTTTCTGGAAGCTGACCCGGGCTTCTGAAAAGATCTCCATTTTGCAACCAGTTGAAACATGTTGCTTTTTCCACCAAAATAAAGGGACACCACCATTTGCAAGTTGCAATGTTCAGGTGTATAATGTAAGGATCCCTGCTGACTAGGATCAAATGGCTCGGACTTCCATTTGCTGAAATGGCTCGGGTTTTGTGATTGTCCCCTGTCGGCTTTAAAGGGAACCTATGACTACTGGACACATTCTCATTTTTCCAGGGGGCTTGCTCAAAGGGTTTTGTGCGACTTGGAGGGCAAGCTCGCAAGAACGACATGCCCCAAGTGGGCCGGTAGGAACTTGGCGAACGGTTTGACTCCTCTTCAAGCGGGAAGTCTTTATGCTCTCGGTCTACTTTGCAAGAGAGTGCTTGGGTGTTCGGCCAAGTTGGCAAGTTAACCTGTCTTACACCGCACTTGTAAGTCTTTCTAGCAGTAAGTCGGTACGGAGGCTTAACCGCTTTTCTCACTGAAGAATGCCACCCAGCTTTTCTTTGAAGGTGCAGTCTCCCAGTCAGACGTGCTGCGCGCCCTACCTGGCAAAGATCATGAACCAGTCAGCAGTTGTCAATTTGGTGTCATTCATACACCAGTGATGAAGAGCAGGCCATGAAGAAACCGTCGCAACCACTTGGGAAGATTTGGGGCCATAAGTGTACACAACAATGCAAGTCACCACTCAGAATGGGAATCTGCTTGCTCTCTTGTACCAGTGGGGGCCTGTTGCTTTTTGAATTTACGGCAAGTTTGTCATCCCACAGAAATCCGAAAACTCTGTCCTTTTGGGGTGTGAACCAGACATTTTCCCAACACTCGTTAGTTTAACAATTTACGAGCGTAACCACATACCCCTGGTGAAAGGTACCCCTGGCGTCCCCCTGGTTCTTTAAAGTTGCGTGCCCCTACAAGTGCTCCTTAGTTTTGGTTGCCACACACGGTACTAAATACAGAAACACGACTGGCGTCACCCTTCCCCTTCTGGCAACTTTGGCATGAGAGGAGTCCCACATCGTCTAGCAGACGGATCGCCCTAAGTTCAGTCGCTGCTTCTGTTTTTCCCCGGCGCACGACGACTGGGGCCCACGAGCGAACATGGTGAAGTTTGCAAGGTATTTTATTCAAGCCAGGCAGCTATTTGAGGTTTGGTCAAAAATGCGAGTAGCCTGTTTCATTTGGCAAGGACGTGGGGCAAAAGCCATCGGACGGAACCCGCATTTTTCCACGTGCTTTCGGGGGCACACCTTCCTATTTTTGATTGTGACTGATTCAAAATCCTAAATTGTGCCCATGTTTTTCTGGGTTGCTCAAGCGTCTCGAGCGTCTCAATGCCAGGCAAGGGCATGCACACCCGGCTGTACACCCACGTGCTTAACAGGACGGATCCCGGCATGACTTGGTGGCCGTGGGTCCAAAATAGGGTAACCCCAAAATGGGTTGCCCGGGTAAATGGAATCAAGGACTAACACCTGTGGTCCATATCTTTTGACCCATACCCACCTGGTGGTTAACCATACCCTGGCAACCCTGGTATGAATCAAGGACTAAAACCTGGTATGTGGTCTGGTGGTTTAAGTTTGACCCATACCCTGGTGACTCTCCTCTGACCCGTTGGGACTCGTAACATCTTCTTGGAGTACCCCAGGTTTGGGCCACCTTCTGCTAGGGCCGTGGGGGTGTTCCTTGAGGGTGCGCTTTCCATATGAGGTACATGGCAAAAGCGAGAGGCCAATGCCCTGCTCGCGTAAAAAACGAGCTTTGTCTTGATTGGAAACAAGTAGATTTGGGTATGGCTATGGGTCAAAATTAAACCACCACGGGACCGCAGGTTTTGGTCCATGTCCACTTACTAGGATTCCATTTGGGGTACCTATTTTTGACCCACAGCCATTTCAGCTCTGCTTGAAAGAAACTCCAGCGCCGCGTCTGCTTCTGTCGCGGCGGCTTTTGCATCTCTTTCGTCCCTCTTTCAGCAACTGTCTCCATGTCTTATTGTGGCCTCGGAGGCTGAGGACATGTTAATAAGATGAACAAGTGATGAATATAGCAAAACACAAGAGACTGCAAATCCAGATATTTGTACAGGTGTTTCTTTCTTTCATCTCTTATCTCATTTCATCATCCCTCACTCCCTTTAACCGCTGCAGCATAGAAGAGTCGAGGTGAGGGCGTGTTAAGAGATCAACAATACAAAAACCCTTCCAAACCTCTATTTGCTTAAGGAAAGAAGGGCAGTCCTTTCCTTTTCATGCCATCCCTTTCCCGTCCCAAACACAAATGAATAGTTCATAAACATACAAAGACGAAGAGAAGAATGCTTGTGACACATCTTTTTAGCACTTCACCTCTTTTTAGCAATCACATCTCTTTCTAGCGACCACACCTCTCTTTAGAATAGAAGGCAACCACACCTCTTTTTAGCGTTCGAATAAAAGGGACGTAGAGGCATTCGACGCCTGGGGAAAGCCCCTGCGTGCGAGAAATCTGTCAAGGAAAAATGACCCAATCTGAAAGAAAATGATATTGCGGAAAACAAACAAAAGCTACGCACAATCCCCCAGAAAGAAAGGTACTGGGCATGACAAAAGCATGTCCCTCAGGACGTTGCTCTTTGTTTTCTTCGAGGTGGCTAGGGTTTTGCAAATGGGAGGCCTTTCAGGCATGGTATGACCAACACATTTCTCTCAGGACTTTGGTGTTGATAGATGTTTTTTCTGTGTTCGGGCTTCTTCAAGTTTTTCTTTGCAAATGGGAGGTGTTTTTTTTAGCATCTTTGGTTTTGCAAATGAGTTGCTCTTCAAGATTCCTCAAACAATGTGAGGAATGGTTCTATTCGTGTTCATCAAACACACACCTATGGGGCACCCCACAAAACGACAAAAGCACCTCTCAGATGATTTGTTTATGGCAAAACAAACCGAAAGATGGGTGTATTGAGGGCGGTCGGACTACTGTCCCTTCGTTTTCCTACTTGAGACATGAGGTTTGGTCCAGATTACTGGTATGGTTGATTTGGGAGGGACACAGACGAGCTCTAAATATCAACCACAATTGTCCCATGTGCATTGCCAACACACAGAATGATTTTTGTTTCTTTGCCAGACCCTGTGGATTACCAGGCTGTGGGCTACCAGGCTGTGGGTTACCAGGCTGTGGGCTACCAGGCTGTGGGTTACCAGGCTGTGGGCTACCAGGCTGTGGGCTACCAGGCTGTGGGTTACCAGGCTGTGGGTTACCAGGCATGGAGTCATGGATCTTTCAAGCAGGATTTTGGACAACGCCTTTGGACAACCTGTTGAACCAAATGTGGAATCTTTCAGGAATCCTGTCGCAGGAATCCTTTCATGGAAATCCATTAATTGGACCTCAGGACCTATTGACCTGCTCTTAAATGGGACTCCTATCACCGCAAGTACCTTTGTGTGAGCCAGGACCATCAGCACGTTTGACCATGGAATCGGCATTGCCCATGTCAACACCGTCAGGGCAGCATGAACAAACAACATTCATTGGCACAGAACACACGTTTGTTGTGTGAATCACAACACGCAAGAACGATTGAAGTAGTCATTGCACAGGCCAATACATAAATACTTATGTATGTATCTATCTATATCTATGTCTATATCTATGTCAATGTCTCTTTGTCTACGGAGAATTGCACATGGTAACCCCAGGGCCCCTGCGCTGACAGGTGTCACTGGGTGGAGTCCTGCCAAGCAAGCACCGCAGCTTGGCCGATTCAAGTGGAGAGGGGTCGATGCACCAAGAACTGGCTGCTTGTAGCAAGGTCCAAACCCCTTCAATGGCTGGTTAGCCAGGTTCCCTCCTTTTCAGTGGTTCAACACAATTCCTTTTGGCGGTTAACAAAACAATGCCCTTTGGTGACTACCGAACAATTCCTCTTGAAAGTGCCAATTTACAGTGAGCTTCGTTTTGGTCATCGGTGAAGTTTCACCCGGAAGCATTGGGAGGTGTTCTTCTAAAATCAACCACTCAGTGTCACTGCCTCAATATCACACACTCAATACTGTCAATCACATAGTCGACTGTACCTTGCCTCAGTATCATTGTGTCAATATCACTCTGCCAAATCGCAACTCTACCCTATCTCAGTTCAATCACGCAGCCCATGGATCGAGTGTGTCAGGGTCTGCTTTATTCTTCGTTTATTTTGGCCTTAGATGAATCCTTTGCGTGGATCATGCGCGTGAGGGTCGAACAACCGGTGATTTGTACACTTTATCTCGACCCTCTGCGTAGAGCGTGCTTGTCGGGGTTGAACCACTCGTGGATTCTTGCACTTTATTTGGGCCTTGATGAACCCTCTGCGTGGATCATGGTTGATACCATTTGCCGCGATTGGCCGGCCCTTTGCGTGGATTGTGCACTCGAGGTGCAACAACTCCTATTCGTTTGGCGTTTGTTTATCTTGATCCCGGATGACCCTCTGCGTGGATTGGTCAATCTGACCATGGGCGGCATGTTTCACATCAGGACGACCGTTTGGAACAACAGATGGACAACCAAGGGTAACCCATTTGTGTAAACCAAAGGTAGTCTCTTTTGATGCCATGTGCCACAGAATGATCGATGGACAAGGCTGTAGGCTGGTTGTCGCTGGCAGAGATGGTCATAAGTTGCCTCCATTTGGGTGAAGGGAGCAAGATGCGTTTGAGCACTATACACTTGAGCAAGATGCCCTTGAGCAAGAATCATTTGAGCAAGATACACTGGGGCAAGATTTACTTGAGCAGGATCAACATGAGCAGGGTAAACGTGAGCAGGAATCACTTGGGGTAGACACACATGAGCAAGATACACGTGAGCAAGAGTTCGAGCGAGATATGCTACGCGAGCAACATGCGCTCGAGCAAGATTTGCATGAGCAAGAAATACTCGAGTAGACATGCATGAGCAACATGCACTTGAGCAAGATACAAGCGAGCAATATACATTCGATCAAGTTACTCTCGACAAAGATGCACCTGATCAAGATGCACTTCAGCAAGCTATGCTTGAGCAAGCGGCACTCGAGAAAGATGCACTTGGAGCAATTTCACGCGCTTCTGCTTGGGTACAATTGACAGATGGCAATGGGTGCAGGAAAGCATGGGTCGTCTCCTTGACATGCATTTGGTGTTTGCATTGCTTTGCAATCACCGTTGCTGCGTGCTTCCGTTCCACCCGTCGCCTAGTTCGGTTAGGAATGTAGGGAACTCTGCCCAGTTGCAGATGGAACGTGGTTGCATGAGCCCCAACAAGCACCGAATTCTTGTTCCCGCAGTCCCTAAGAAGAATCGAGACTAAAGGAGGAGATTCTTGCACAGACGCCCTTTTTTTGTTTGGGGGGGGGGGGTTCTGGAATTTCCCTTCAGTTGGGGGGAACCCTTCTCTACTATATATGTATATATGGTCCCGTGTTCCGTGTTGCTACCCCCCCCCCCCCCCCCATATGGTATGGTCCCCCAGGACCCCCCCCCCCGGCCCGAGACCCCGAGCCCCCGGATCCTGGCACCTACGGTCCCACCCCCACCCCGACCCCCTGAACTCGCACCCCGACACCCCGGCACCCCCACCCCCAGGCCAAGCCAACCCGCAACCCACCATAAACCAACCCTAAACTAACCCTAAACCAACCCTAATACACCCTAAACCAAACCCTAAACCGTAGACCTTTAAACCTAAACCAACCCTAAATCAACATAAACCAACCCTAAACTAACCCTAAACCAACCCTAAACTAACCCCAAATACACCCTAAACCAATCCCTAAACAATAAAACCTAAACCTAAACCAACCCTAAACCAACCCTAAATACACCCTAAACCAAACCCTAAACTAAACCCTAAACCGTACACCTCTAAACCTAAACCAACCCTAAGCCAACCCTAAATCAACATAAAGCAACCTAAATTAACCCTGAACCAACCCTAAACTACCCCTAAATACACCCTAAATATACCCTAAACCAATTCTAAACCAGCCCTAAACCACCACAACCCAACCACAGGACCACAACCACAGGGGGGGGGGGGGTACTTGTCTGACCCATGACCATTGGGGGGGGAGGGGGGGGGGGCTGGCAACGCTGTACCATATATATATATATATGTATATGTGTATATACATGTAGATACATATGTGCTGCTTTCGCTGCTTTCGTTGGGGTGTATGATCCACTGGGCATTGCCATAGTTATGAAGCTCTCAGTGGCCTAGGTGATGTACACGGACAGTGGCCTGTTCACTGTGTACGCGCCGGGCGCCCCGGCATTTATGCGTTTATGCGACCGTGTCTAGTGCTTGAAGGACTCATCAATGACATAACACACACTGAAGGGCTCACCAAAGAACTAAACTTTGTGATATTAATTCAAGCAAATCTAGTTGTCAGCAAATCGGTCACAGTGGGACCTGGTGTCATGTTGGCCCGGCTTCCCTGACGGTCAATATCAGGGGGTTGCAAAAGGTCCGACTGCTTGTTGATTAAAGGGAAGCCAACAGAAACATTGTAAAATCTCTAAATGGGTGTATGTGTCTGTGTTTTTCTTCAGTGCACCCAGACTTGGGATCGTTTCAGGAGGCCCGTCGATGGACCACTGGATAGGTTTGAACCTCCATTCATTGAAGCAAACCGTACATTTTGCATATATTCTCAGCCCATGGTTTGCTTGGGGGGCACCAAAGAAACCGGAGCACATGTTGTTTTTCGGCGTTGTTGCAAAAGGCAACTGGAACACAGAAAGCAGCCAACAGCAACCGAGCATGGCACTTCACCTGCAACCTGGCGGCGACCCGCTCGATTTTGCGAGCATGTTGATTTGACCAGGCGGCAAGCATCGGCAAGCGGTTGATTTGCTTGCTGGTGCGATGGGCAGGGAATGATAGAATGACCCCGGAATCAACCATCCCCGATTTGGTTTCCTTGATTCGGGAATCCCTTCCGGTTCATTCCCAAAACCCGGGTCATTCCCGAATAAAGCAAACCAAATCAGGGATGTTTTTTTCCCGAAAGCATGGCGAAGGGTTCTTCCGCTGGGTTCACTTGAGTTGTTCTCATGAGAGTCATTACAAGGTGTCATTGCAAGGAATCATCATCATGAATGTCATTGCAAGGAATCATCATCATGAAAGTCATTGCAAGGAGTCATTGCAAGGAGTCATGGCAAGGATTGCAACTTGCACTTGACTCCTTGCACTTGCAACTTGCACTTGACTCCTTGCACTTGCAACTTGCACTTGACTCCATGCACTTGCAACTTGCACTTGACTCCATGCACTTGGCTCCTTGCAACTTTGACTCATGACTCTCTGACTCCTTGCCTTGCCCTCCTCCATGACTCCTTGATGACTGCCATGACTCCTGAAAAGGTCAAGTGCAAGTTGCAAGTGCAAGGAGTCAAGCAATTGACTTGCGAGGAGTTAAAATCTCTTCTTAGGGCGGCGGGGTAGTGCCGACGACACTACACGAAAATCGACCCTCTGCGGGGATCGGCGTGGTCGAGGTGCAAAAACCCATGGTTTTTTTGCGATGCGGTGCCCGCGCACCCTCTCGGGGATCGGCGTGTCGAGGTGCAAAAACTCGAGGTTTTTTGCGACTTTTGTTGTTCGAACTGGTCCTCGGGAGTTGTCTCGTGGTTCGCGCGCCTGCTCCCGGGCCGGCGGGTCGCGGGTTCGATTCCTCCCTGGTCCGCGGGCGGGCGTCGCAAGATGCAACTTGCATTTTAAAGCAACTTGCGCAGAGCAACTTGCGCAGAGCAAGTTGCACAGAGCAACTTGCGCAGACCAACTTGCACCGACCAGTTTGCGGAGAGCGCCTTGCCTAGAGCAACTTGCGCAGAGCAACTTACGCAGAGCAACTTTGCAGAGCAACTTGCAGGGAGCGCAATTTGCACAGAGCAACTTGCAGGGAGCCACTTGCAGGGACCAACTTGCCGGAGCAACTTGCGCGGAGCAACTTGCGCAGAGCAACTTGCACAGTGCAACTTGCGTAGAGCAACTTGCGCAGACCAACTTGCACCGACCAGTTTGCGCAGAGCACCTTGCCTGGTGCTGTCTCGCGCTTGCTTCACGAATGCTTCGTGTAGGGAAAAAGAACGCATCCTGCAGCGTTGGGCCGACCTCGCTTGCGATGTTCTGCTTTCGGGCCAACCGTGGTCTAATTTTTTCTTGGGGTCATTCCATTTCTCATTCCCTGCATCTCTCGCTCCCATTCCCTCATTCCGTAGTTAGCACCATCAAATAAGCCAGCCCCTATGGTTTCTTTTAAGGGACTCCAACCAAAACCGGTAATCCCCATGTTCATTCCCTCATTCCCTAGAGCACCATCAAACTCACCTCCATGGTGTCCTTTCTTCGGGAATCCCCTTTAGGGAATCCCCAAAACTGAGCACCAAAATAAAATTTTCCTTTCGGGAATCCAACCAAAGCCGGTGCATTCATTCCACCTCCCCTCGAAAGACGTCATTCCCGATCGCTCGCCGCATCTACTGAGCAGCGAGCGATCGGCAGGACGGTGGTGCCGGGCCACGGTTCGGACTTTGTGGGGCTCCTGGCGAACATCTTCGAGGCGGTTTTTGGGCGGTTGGGGGGGGGGGGGGGCGGATTTCGAGGCAGGCCACAAAAGGGGAGGTGTTGGGGGCTGGAAACCGGGGGGGGGGGGGGGTCGGCAGGCCACAAAGAAAGGGGGGGAAAACCCTGAATTTGGGGTCTGCTCCCAGCGAAAGGTCCGGTGTTCCGTGGGTTTTTCTTCGTTTCTCGATTTTAGGTGGCGTTTTTTGGGCTGGGGGGTGTCGGCAGGACACAAAGGGGAACTTGGAGTCTAGAGTTTACCCCTGGACAGGGGTCACTGGATTTTCCCTGAAGTTGATTAACTGGTGGTGTCCGTTGAAGCGATCCCCTAGGTTCCAAAACAGGGAAATTGACTGGGCTGTCCCCAGATCCCCTGCTAACAGTGTTCAACTTCTACTGGCTCAAATTCGGAAACCCAACCACTAAACCAACGAAGGAAAAAAACGCCTAAAAACCGAGAAAAAGAAGAACAACACGGAAAAACCAGAGGATTCGCTGGGAACAAGCCTAAGAAAACATATTTTCGGCATTCTCACAGCACAACACCCACCTCAAAACCAACCCGACATGACAAACCCTTGCCATTTCTGAAACCCTAGCCCGAGGCCGCCCTGAATTTCCCACAATTCAGTTGAAGTGAACCCTCAACCAAACCTAGCTCCACCTTAAAATCAGAATCAAACCTCCAGCCAAACCACGGCCAGCCTCATCGAGCCCTAATTTGAAACTGCGACATATTCTTCGCCGAGGCCGGGCAATCAGTACTTCCCTTCTAACATGTGTGGCTATGTCTCATTGGAGCCTTCTAGGCTGGCGGTCTATCTGTTCTGGCACATGCAGCTTATTAGAAAGGGTTCCAACCCAAGCTTTTTGCCAGGGGGCCTCTACCATGTGTTGCGCTTGTTGGGTGTGTTCAATGCCATTCTTGAACATCCTTGTACCAGCCTTTGCTTCTTTTGAGCATACTTATTGCTAGTCATGCCATCTATTCACGCCCTTCCACCACCCATTCTATGGTTTTTGGGGTATCCTTTTACACTCGTTTGGTGTTTCCCATCCTTCTGCCATCCCTTGACCTTGCACGCGTTTCTCGCGTTTTGCTTCAGATGCCTTTGAGCATCTCATCATCTGGCTCGCCAGGGTCTGCCCAAGATGTCCGACGTGGAGCTGGCGCGCGCCAAGAACGCCCTGAAGTCCAGTGCTCCGCCCCAAAAGGGTGGGATTTGGCCACTCTTTGGCCCTTGGCTTCGGACTGGATTTAAAGGTAGCAATCAAAACCTTGGTAACTCTTTAGATGGCTTTGGGTTCACCATTTTTTTGTGCCAGGTTTTGATGACTCATATGAGTTTTGTGGTTTTGTGGGGGGCTTAGCTGAGGTAGACGTTCGCTTGTTTCCAAGAACTCCCAGCGGTGTGCCAAGGCCAATCTTTCGGGGTCCGGCTTCTGTGGTGATTCTCCTTGGGCCTTTAAGGGGTCCCTGTTTGGAGGTGTTAAACACCAAGAGGAACGAATCTGGGGGTCTCGTTTATCAGGACAGATTCATGTGTGTTTTCTGAACGCCGAGTATTGGAGCACTTTTGACCGCCCTAAAAGTGCTTGAATGTTCAACCAGCTTAGTAACTGGGGCCCTAGGGTACAAGCACGGCTACAACTGGGATCACTGGGGGTAGCCCCTGGATGAACGAAGGTTACAACCTACTGTCTAGCTAACTTGAACTCCCATGTGGTTTCTTCTATTTTTGCGGTGTCTTTTTCCAACAGATTCAGCAAAACTTGCTGACCCCTGTAAACCACCCCCTATGGTTTGCTTTAAGGAAATCTCCAGGTTCATTCTGAAAACCCGGACTCGGTCATTCCCTACTGAGTGCCAGCAAGAAAATGATCACCCTCATGTTGAACTAGCTACACTTGTCGGGGATCAGTCAGTCGTTGCCTTGCGAAGTTGGTGAGACAGGGTGTTGGCGCCAAGAAACGTGCGTTTCATCCAGTCCGGTCATAAGCCTTCAGTTGATTCCGGGATAAAGGGAGTCCCTGAAATACTAGGCGTGGCAAGAACATGGTCAGCAGCGAATTCTGCAGCGACTTAGTCTAATCATAGTTTGACTAGTGAACGAGGCCCTTTTACTGCCACTGAGGAGCTTTTTGTTGTTCTTTGCTTCGTGTTTTCTGTAGGCTTCATGGACCTCGATTGTGAGGAAGCTTGTTTACACAATAGAGGCCTAAACTTTAAACACGTCACTACCTAGTCTATGCTTAGCAACCCAGTGCAGGGGCGGGCCGAAGCAGCTCAGCCATGCCGCGTCACTATGCTACTTAGAAACTTGGGAGGTTCCTCGCCGGGCCTGGGCAATTGTTTGGCGCATTTTGCCCGGCAAGGTGGTGGGCGTGATTCTTTCCTGCCACCGTCCCTTCCGGTGCCTGGTGCTTGCTTGCTTTCGTTCCTGCAATTGACGAGCGCTGGGGCGAGGTATTCACATGAACCTGGAAATGTGGGGGCCCCAGTGCGCCGAGGTCAAGTCCTTATGACTTGCTTCCCCGGGAGCGAGGGCACTTGCGTTGTGTACTGTTGCTCTTGGTTCCCCCGGAATTTATCATTTGTGGAAGGTGCGAAATGAGGAGACAAAACACACTAGTAGCTTTGGCTTGGGCAGATGCAGTCTGGTCGGGTTTGACTCTTGTGTAAAGCAGGGCTAGCCTTTTTGGACTACCTGGTAGGCAACATGCTCCCACTATACGGAACTGCTGCGAGATTCCTTTCAGAGATATGGCAAACTGTTCCCCGAAAAACAAACTCAAACGGCTTGCTCAGAAGGCGATTTACTTTGATTCCATCCCAGGACTGAGCTCAATCATTGAGCAACAAAGTTCGGATGCGATCTTAAAAGTAATGCACTTCTCCTCTCCCAACGTGGACCTTCTTTTACGGGCAATCCTCCTTTTGCTGTAGGTTGATTCCTTGGCAAGGTTCTAGAGTCAAATCCTTGCACTACAACGAAGTGCAGCAAGTGAGACTTTACGAAGATTCCTTTGGACCCAGGAGGCAGATCTTGACTTTATTGTCTTTGAGCTGGTAATTACGCACGCAAAGACGAGAGGACTTGTGCAGTTTGCTGCAATCACTGCAATCAAATCAGTGTGGTATAATCGCTTCCGGTTTGTGGCAAAGTGACGATCCCTCTGATTTCCAACGCATGACAGTTGTGTTTGATTTTGTTTGTGGCCAGCAGTACAACATATAGACAATCAATGGCCGCGTCCCTTAAATCGAAACCGATCCTGTATTTCAGGTTTTCTGTTACTATAATACCATCTAACTGGAATAGGAAACGATCGCATACTTCTATTTTGGGGAACTCCCCCCCCCCCACCCTCCACCCGGCGCGCGCTCACGGCCAACGGAGCCAACGGCGAATTGAAAATCCTAAGGCGCGGGGTGATGATGGAGGACCTGGGCCGTCAGATGGTGCTGTCTGGCAAGGCGCCTTCTTTGCTCCAGTGCTTGGCATTCATTTTTCAGATGTTTGATGTGTGTGGTTTTTGGTTTGCAAATGATTGCGTGGTTTGTGAATTCCTGTTTCTTTTTGTGTTTTGTTTGCTGAACTTCCCCCATTGGAGCCGTGTTCTTCAGATTTCTGTTCTCGAAATACTTCTTTTGGTGGGACACCCAACAGTTTGGACTCGTTGGGCAACAGAAGGAATCCAGCAAGAAGGGTAAATGAGGTTCGGTCAACATGTTGCCCGCACGTAGTCTGTGTCCCTCAAAAAAGGGGGCTTCTACCCATGTCCAGAGATGTTGACCATAACCTGGCTGTGTGTCAAAGTTCCATTTTAGTTTTCGGAGTGGAAACATGCTTCCGGCGCGACGTGGATGCTTCCGCCAGCTATTTTACTGTAAATGCCTGGGCTCCTCCTGGTTCCCTTAATGTACAGGGTTACGAAACTACACAGAGTTTACCCCTGTCGCCATGACCAAATGACTCTACAGTACACTACCCCATGACCCTATCCGACTTCGATTCATGCCTCACAGCACACCATCAAACAAAAGATCCCCCTTTTAAGACCAAGTTTCTGGGCCACACCCGCAGTGCTGTGGTCAAAAGCACCCGGTTCCTTGTGGTGGTAACCATCCAGCCATGGTGTCTTCGGGGAACCGACCCAGACCAACCCCACTCCCGCCCTAAACCAACCCCAGACCAACCAAGATGCGTGTGTCTCATCTCATCATAGGGGGACCCAAGCGTTTCGGTCGCTTGATCGCGAGGTGGGCACGGCCCAAGAGTTCGGGGACATGGTAGAGGCCATCACCAAGGACTCGGACTGAGAGGATGGGCTCCGGCCCCCCAGGATCATTGGTGCCCTTTCTCACCGTTTTTCTTCTTTGGGGAGGCTTCGGAAGCCTACTAAAATAGACAGAAACAAGTGGGTAGCCGTATGCTAACCTCTCCACTGGAGGACCTTTGTGGATTTCCTTTCGGTGACCCTTTAAACACACCCAACAAGAGGTACTACCAACAACAAAAGAAACAGCCACCCGGGTTCAGGACCTGAAGGGCGAAGTCAGGGACTGGCCTTGGCCTCCCAACAGAAGCAGACGGAAAGGTTTTGGAAGACGGAAGCTTCCGCTGAGGGTAATGTTGGCATCGGATTAATCAGAGCGGCCCGCCCAGGGCCCTTCCCCTCAATGCTAAACAATTTGAACAGCTGGAACTCATGATTATTATTTTTCCGCGCAAGACGACATGTGTTTAGCACAACCGACTGAACAATTCAGGAGGCCCCACCCCAAATGAAAAGTTTAAACTCCCAATAATCCTCCCCGTTGATGCCGCTGCTATGTTTGTGTCCATGCTGCACCCAAGCCTTTCTGACATTTGCTTTCCAAGTGCTTTGCAATTCCAGGTGACAGCTTTGCACTAGCACTAGCACTAGCCATGAAGCGGGACCAGGAGCCTAGGAGCCTGGTGAGGCGTTCCCAAGACAGAAGCCAACATGAGCTCAACAGAAGGCTAAGTCATGGTCACGGTCAAAGAACCCTTTCTGAATTGTGCGGAAGGGAATCAAGAGGTAACCAAGAACCTGCATGGGGTGCCCTCATGTGGACAGACGCGGAAGAGTTGCAAACTGATTTAGCCCCAGGCCAACATGAGCCCGGCCTATGCCGTTTCAGGCGGCGTCTCTCTTGCACGGTGCACGCCATTTGGCCTGCAGGAAGATTTGGTGGAGACTTTGCGCGAGTGTCCGGCTCCTGGCAGGTTCTTGCGACTCCCTAAGTTCCGGTTTGCGCACTGCTGCAGTTTGCACAGAATCGCAATGTTGGTCCATGTTTGATCGGTAGCTTGATGGGTATCGGCGGTTTCTGCTGGTCCGTGTTGGGTCCTCAAATGGCAAAAGCCCGGTTTGCAAAGCAGCTGGACCTGTCTTGGACACAGGAAGCACAATCAATTCTCTGGGGTACCCCTGACAAATCCTTCATATACACTTTATACTGGTATGATCAAGTATCCTACCCAAGGGGTACATCGTTGAGCCTGTGGAAAAGGGCAATATGGAAGTTTGAGGTTTGAGGAGTCGTTTTTGTTGGGTTCGCTTCGAAGGAAAGTTTCGAGCTTTGGCATTTTCCTAGATCTCAAAACCTCAGCCCCAAGTTGAACATTGGAGTGGAAGCCACTCGGCTCGAACGGTCCACATAAGCCACAATATGGGTAGCTTACCTGGGGACAAAGGTTGCTGGAGCTGGATTGGTTGCCCTCGTTTTCTTAGACAAAATCGGTAGCTCTCAGAGAGCTCAGAACCCGTCAATCACAACACCTCTTAAGCACCTTCCGGGCATTTGGTTATCCCGACTAGCTCCAATGTGGTGCCGGCGGATTGACCCGATGCCTGCGGCCCAACTTGCCACAAGCACCACTAGAAACTCAGGAAGCTCCAGGAGATCCAGGAAGGGCCCGGGTTATGGTCGAAATTCAATCACCAGAGGCCCGCCGGTTTTAGTCTATGTTTTTCATTTACCAGGGTTCCACTTTGGGGACCTATTTTTGACCCGCAGCCATCTCCTTCCATGTCTTTTTCTTCTTGGGGGGGGGGTTGTAGTTTTCTCCGGTAAGCCTGCCGCGCCACGTCGCCCGCCGCGCAACGAGTGAGGCCTGAAGTCCCCCGCGAGCTTTGTGGCCTTCGGAGCCATCGAGAAGGCCGGAGACCCCCACAAGTCATGGCTGGCTGCACATGGCTTCTGTTTGCGGTTGGTTTAAAAGGAGACCAAAGGGAACATATAGCTATACTTTTTGGGAGGAGGGAACCCTAAACAAAGGACACACCCATTATTTTTTGTTGTTTCGTGTTTAGTCAACCTAAAAAGATAGCACGTGTGTTGAGGTTTCCCGAATATTTGGGGGTTGAAGGAGTTCAGTTCTATGGGTTTCAGGATGCACCCATGATTGTCCTTTGGTGCAAGCTGGAACCTCCGCGGTGTTGGTTTCCGCTTGATTCCTTTCACACAAAAGGGGTTGCCCACTTATGTGTCAAAATAGCCCCCCCCCCCCCAAATTGCGGCTTTCCTTTTGGCTTTGGAAAGGGTGCCCTCAAAAATACATTTGCATGCACACACCCGAATGGTAACTGCACATCTTTGCCTACTGCAGCCTACAGAATGAGAATGGGGTGGCCGGGTACTCGAATAGCCAGCTTTACTCGTGATTACAGTAAACGATCAGTTGTGGTGCCCTTAACATTATTTCAGTTTTTCCCGAAAGCATCGCGAAGGGTTCTTGCGTGCGGAGCCCTTGGACAAGTTACACAGACAGAGCCAAGTTGCACAGAGCCAAGTTGCGCAGAGCCAAGTTACATAGCGCCAAGTTACATAGAGCCAAGTTACATAGAGCCAAGTTACGTAGAGCCAAGTTACATAGAGCCAAGTTACATAGAGCCAAGTTACATAGAGCCAAGTTACATAGAGCCAAGTTACATAGAGCCAAGTTACATAGAGCCAAGTTACATAGAGCCAAGTTACATAGAGCCAAGTTACATAGAGCCAAGTTACATAGAGCCAAGTTACATAGAGCCAAGTTAGAGCCAAGTTACATAGAGCCAAGTTACATAGAGCCAAGTTACATAGAGCCAAGTTAAGTTACATAGAGCCAAGTTACATAGAGCCAAGTTACATAGAGCCAAGTTACATAGAGCCAAGTTACATAGAGCCAAGAGCCAAGTTACATAGAGCCAAGTTACATAGAGCCAAGTTACATAGAGCCAAGTTACATAGAGCCAAGTTACATAGAGCCAAGTTACATAGAGCCAAGTTACATAGAGCCAAGTTACATAGAGCCAAGTTACATAGAGCCAAGTTACATAGAGCCAAGTTACATAGAGCCAAGTTACATAGAGCCAAGTTTAAGTTACATAGAGCCAAGTTACATAGAGCCAAGTTACATAGAGCCAAGTTACATAGAGCCAAGTTACATAGAGCCAAGTTGCATAGAGCCAAGTTACATAGAGCCAAGTTGCATAGAGCCAAGTTACATAGAGCCAAGTTACATAGAGCCAAGTTACATAGAGCCAAGTTACATAGAGCCAAGTTACATAGAGCCAAGTTACATAGAGCCAAGTTACATAGAGCCAAGTTACATAGAGCCAAGTTACATAGAGCAAGTTACATAGAGCCAAGTTGCATAGAGCCAAGTAGCCAAGTAGCCAGGTGGCACAGAGCCAAGTTACATAGAGCCAAGTTACATAGAGCCAAGTAGAGCCAAGTTACATAGAGCCAAGTTACATAGAGCCAAGTTAGCCATAGAGCCAAGTTACATAGAGCCAAGTTACATAGAGCCAAGTTACATAGAGCCAAGTTACATAGAGCCAAGTTACATAGAGCCAAGTTACATAGAGCCAAGTTACATAGAGCCAAGTTACATAGAGCCAAGTTACATAGAGCCAAGTTACATAGAGCCAAGTTACATAGAGCAAGTTACATAGAGCCAAGTTACATAGAGCCAAGTTACATAGAGCCAAGTTACATAGAGCCAAGTTACATAGAGCCAAGTTACATAGAGCCAAGTTACATAGAGCCAAGTTACATAGAGCCAAGTTACATAGAGCCAAGTTACATAGAGCCAAGTTACATAGAGCCAAGTTACATAGAGCCAAGTTACATAGAGCCAAGTTACATAGAGCCAAGTTACATAGAGCCAAGTTACATAGAGCCAAGTTACATAGCGCTAAGTTACATAGAGCCAAGTTGCATAGAGCCAAGTGGCACAGAGCCAAGTGACCCAGAGCCAGGTGGCACAGAGCCAAGGTTAGGTAGAGCTTGAGTAGAGCTTCGGCGTAAGCAGCTATGTAAGTTAGTTTAGGTTTCTAAGGCGCCGGGGCGGGAGTTTGATCATCGCTCGGGATTGCGACCCTCTGCGGAGATTCGCGTGGTCGAGGTTAAAAAACTGGGGACTTTTTACGATGTCTGCTGGCCGCGCGCGACCCTCTGCGGAGATTCGCGTGGTCGAGGTTCAAAAACTGAGGACTTTTTACGATTTCAGCGGTGCACGCGCGACCCTCTGCGGAGATTCGCATGGTCGAGGTTCAACAACTGAGGACTTTTTACGATTTTTTGCATGCGCGCGCCTCTGCGGAGATTCGCGTGGTCGAGGTTCAAAAACTGAGGACTTTTTTACGATTTTTTGCATGCGCGCGCGACCCTCTGCGGAGATTCGCGTGGTCGAGGTTCAAAAACTGAGGACTTCTTACGATTTCTGCAAGCCGCGCGTCGAAGCGCTCTCGCTGTGGCGCCGCGCGAATTTGTCTTAGTCTCGGCGAACCCTCTGCGGAGATTGTGCGTGTCGAAGCAATATTCTTGCTCGCGAAGCGGCCTTTGGAAGTTGTCTCGTGGTTTGCGCGCCTGCTTTCGCAATCCCGCGGTCGCGGGCTCGATTCCCCCCTGGTCCGCGGCAGCTCCGGCTTGAAAATCGCAGCTTTTAAGTACAATCGTAGTACGCGGAGCGTGCTCCTGCAGCTCCGGCTGGAAAATCGCAACTTTTAAGTACAGACGTAGTATGCGGAGCGTGCTCCCGCAGCTCAGGCTGGAAAATCGCAACTTTTAAGTACAAACGTAGTACGCGGAGCACACCCCCGCAGCTCCGGCTTGAAAATCACAACGTAGTACGCGGACCGTACTCCTGCAGCTCCGGCTGGAAAAAATCGCAACTACGTAGTATGCGGAGCGTGTGCGGAGCGTGCTCCCGCGCAGCTTTTAAGTACAAACGTAGTACGCAGAGTCACTTGCGCAGAGCAACTTGCGCAGAGCAACTTGCACAGAGCAATTGCACAAAGCACTTGCGCAGAGCAAGCAGCTTGCAGAGAGCAACTTGCGCGCAGCAGCCTGGAACAATGCAGCTTGCGCAGACCACTTTCGTGAGAAATCGCGCGGCGCAGTTCGAGAGGAAAGTAGGATGATGAGATGGAGCTCTCATGTGACCATACACACTGAGCATCGCCGCGCGCAGACACGCTCGCCGCAGCGATGTAAAAAGGTGTCTCCGCGGCTGGATGAGCGCCTGTGGAAAAATGCTTTCGGGCCAATCGTCCTCTAGTTGTTGCAACATATAGCAACCCCCAGGCGGCAGGAGCCCCTACCCCACCCTCCGCCAGGGCCGACGGCAGGAACCCACAAAGCCGGCGCCCATTCAAAGCAAAGGTGTGTTTGAACGTCCTTTTTGGCTTAGTCTGGTTAGAAATAGAGGGGTTCCACTGGTTTAGATTTGTCTTGTTCTATTTAGGGCCATCATTTTTTCCAACAGGTCACCTATGGTTTTTACATGACCTAGATGATGTAGGGCTCAGATTACCGCGACCCCAAGGTGGGCGGCCACACGCTTCTACTGCTGCACTCGCACCCGAAGGGAAACAGCTGTTCTCAACGTTGCCATGAGGTTGCACAAAGTCGCCGTGGTTTAGCTCAAATTTAAACATTTGTTTATTTGGGTATGGGTCAGAATTAAAGCACCAAGGGACCACAGGTTTTAGTCCTTGTTTCCATTTACCAGGGTACCATTTTGGGGTGACCCTCTTTTTGACCCACAGCCATTTGGAGCTCCAACAGCGCAATTTTTTGCCGCCAGTCTCGTACGGGCCCAAGAAGTGCAGTTTAGGTGGCTCCCTACGAGCAGATCCGGAAGAGGCGCACTCGTTCGCTCGTTCCTCGCATGTTGCCTAGGTCTTTCTAGGTGCCAACTTTTACCGTTTCTTTTTGGGGAGGGTTCCCCTCAAATAGACTACAGAGAAAAGGGTGTCCTTATTCTGACCTCTATACTGGAGGACCTAGTTGCTGCGAATGGCAAAGGAGTCTTCCTTTGCCCCTTGTGGCTTTGGGTTTTGAGGCGTCAAGCACAATTTCCCCTTCTTTGGGCGCAAATCCTTGCTTGAGTTGGCAAACTTGACTAAGCGTCAACAGAGATTAGAATTCGAGTATGGGGCAGTCCCAGCTTCAAAGAGCAAGCCGCTTGGTCAGGGTTTATCCCAAGTATCCTGTTCTTCACACTTCATTTGTTTGTCCAGTCCTTTCAAGTGCATCCATCCTCTACAAGCCAGTAAGATGGGAATCGGAATTCCAGGATTCTCATGGCCGTGTCATAGGAATATGTGTTATTGGAAAGCTGCGTTGGGGACCCAATGCCTATTGGGGGAATGCCCATACCAAACCTGCTCCTTACCAGAGGGAATCGCTTGGAAAGTGTAGAAAGGTAAAGCTCACAGGAATGGATATGTTCCATGCCACGTTGAACTTGGAAAGCGAAAGCTTTGCTAGAGGACCATATCGCCAGCTACGCTCGGCATGTGGAGCCATTGTGCCAATGATGCACAGAGGTAACTTGGGCAATGTGTTCGCATCAGGGGGCCCCTTCAGGTGGTTGGCTTCATGTTGGTTTCTAAATCGCCCGCAAAACCTTCCTGAGTTCGACACATCGATAATCGAATGCATCACACAAGTGGCCTACAATCCCCAGAACCCTTTCGAGCCGCAGCGTGCTTCTTTTTTTCTTGGCGCGAACCGCAGGTTCTTCGACGTGCGTTTGCAGAACCCATGAGCAGGGCACACCCGACGCCATGGAGAAGTGTACCGACCGCCGCTGAGCGAGCCAAAATTGCGCGGGCTCGCAGGGGGTGTCCAGACCTCCGCGAGTCGAAGGCACAATTGTTGCAGGTTCTTTGGGGAACGCCTCGGTGATAGGCCCGAGTTAGACTCCAAAACAGAGTCTCCACACGCCATGAAGCAAAGCCCGATGTTGCAAGAGACTCCGCATGTCACAAGACAGGCCATTGGAGCTTGGTTTGGTTGTGTATCCAGATCCCGAGGAGTCGAAGCGGTGGCTGTTTTTGGGGTTCGACTTCTGGGGGGAAATGAACCAGCCCTGGGAGTAGGTAGGTCTATCTGGTGTGCTTGCCTGGCTCAAGCTTTCGGATAAGAACTAGAAAACCACGGGCCTTGGAATCCCCACATGGACCACAACAACGCAGGAGAAAGCAAGGAGCCCAGTTGAACCAGTGGTATGGACATGTGCGACGACTTGAGCCTTGTAAGCTACTGTTGACTTGCTGGGTACGTCTTGGTTTACCAGGAGGTTTCTTTTGTTATGGCGCTCACAGTGGTTACTTGTCAGTGGCGCATGTTTGTTGCTGTTTGTTGTGGTGTCAGCCGATGTAGCCCCATGTCGCTGATATGCCACGAGGCACGACGTTCTGCTTTGTTTTGTTTCGCTCTTGGGAGGTGGTGACAGGATTTTTGTTGGTCGCAGTTTCTGAATGTTTGCCCCGGAGATTTAAGTAGAACCTTTGTAGATTACCAAGGGTGTGTTCCCCCAAATGAAGGATCCCCTGATCAAAGGTGGAACCTAGGCGTGAAAGCCACACGACACAAGCATAATTTCGCCATGAAAGACCAATGGTGCCCTTTGTAGGCTCCTTGCAATGGCTGTCTAAATTCCCCACGAAGAGGTTGAGGATCATCCCTGGCAACCACGCGTAAAGGGCGCATGTGGTTAGACGAGTTTTGGCATGGTTTAGGATTGGTTTTGGAGCGTTGCCCCAAACCACCAAAACTGGCCCAAAAACTAACAAAACCACAACCTAAGTCAAACCTACAGCCACCGCCAAAGCAGCAGCACACCTATCACAAAGCAGCTCCACGCAAATCCCAAACCCACCAAAGTCAGCCTGAAAATCACCCGACAGCATCCTGGATGTCAGCCCTTTGCTGAGCCAAACAAACCCCAAATTCCAACCCAAAACGTACGCGCAGTAAGATCGAAGCCAGCCTAAAACCACCCAAATGAAAGCAGTCCCAAGCAACTCCCAACTGCCACCCAACAGACCCCCCTAGGCCCTGGGTCCAAGTGAGGCTGGTGATGCTGGAGATCCGAAAACACCAACCCTAGGAAAAAACCAGCCCTAAGATTTTTTTTTAAAAAAAACACCTCCACCGGTTCGGGACCACCTAAGAACAGTCTTGGCCCCGAAACGGGTTCCTTTTCTCCACGGGAGTCACTCGACTGGGCGACCTCGTACATAAATTCCCACCGGAAATGGGGCCTTTCTTGGCGGTGAACCCGGCAAAGGCCTTTCATTCCGGCTACATAAGGGAATGTAAGATCCGTAGGTCAAGGGTTCATTGATTTGGCATTCTCCAGACAAGTAGCTTGGGCCTTTGTATTGCGCAGAGTGATTCATATAGAGTTTTGGTTGTGGTGCAGGTGCTGCATCACCAATGGATTGAGACTAGCCAGAACCCGCCCTTTTGACCTTTCGGTTTTCTCATCTTGGCTATTTAAGTAGTCAAGGTCCCAAAAGTGAGCCAGGATGATTCTAGTGATTCTTTAGGTGGTTCTTTAGGTGATTCTAGGTGATTCTAGGACAATGAGCCTGGACTAGGTGATTCTAGGTAAAGTTCCGGTGCTCTGGAAATCCGCCAAAAGTATTTCCAGGTGCTGACCAGTGAGCCAACGGAAGCCAACGGAAGATCCAGGTTGCCAAGCTCCCGCAGACTTTTCCTGGCCCAACTGTCAAATGTCCCCCCAGAATCCAGAATGGCCCGAAGGCCAGTAAACAAGCCGCTTTGGGTGTGTCAAAGGGTTCGACACCAAAAGGAAACCAACAGCACACCAGCTTCTCTTCCTTTGCTTTTTTGGGAAGGGGGGTATGGGTCAAAATTGAACCACCAGGATATGGACCGCAGGTTTTAGTCGCTGTTTCCACTTACCAGGGCAAGCCATTTTGGGGTCACCCCATTTTTGACCCACAGCCAGGGGGGGGGGTCTGGAAGATTCCACAGCTGGGGCTTTCATCCGCCCAGCGACTGCCCGCCGGTTCGTGTCTAGTCCGTGCGGAACGGGGACCACTTCCAGCGCTGGGCCGGGCGCTCGATTTTTCTTCTTCTCGGGTCGAAGCGGAAGGGTCAGACGGGGCGGATGCAGGGGCCGTGGGTCAAAAATGGGGTGACCCCCAAACGGAAGTCTGGAAAATGGAAGCATGGACTAAAACCTGCGGTCCATATCCTGGTGGTTTAGTTTTGACCCAGAAACTTTCAAGAATCAAGGTCGTTTCCAGGGGCTTCATGCAGGTATGGATGCTTATAGATTTCTTACAGAAGTGGTACGTACATATCCTGCATACCTCAAAAACCCACGCCTGAAACTGCTTTCGGTTTCCCTGTTTCCCTTTAAAAGGGGGCCAGACACGCATCGCAATAACTCAAAAACATGAATTCCAAAAAAGCACCTTCGTAAATGGAACCAAAGACCAAAACCTGGCGGTGATGTGCGGTGGTTTGGAGCTATCCCCCCTTCTAACGGACAATCGAAGGGCTTTGAAAGACTATCATGTCCAAAGAACCTAGCTTCATTGTCAAGGGCAAAGACTGGGGGACCCCCCTTCAAAAATCCTTGAGCTACCACCCACATGAGCCACAATCAAAACCCGGGTAGATGAAGCTTAGTAAAGGACGATCCCAACCATAAATAGCTGCGGATATCCGCCTGCTTAATTCCTGAAGCATGGTTGTGGGGTCGACCATTTTAGTACAAAGGGTTTTGAGCAAGTGACTCACATGGACTCAACGCAACGTTCAGCAATCCAAGCCCCCGGCTTGCGACGGGGTACCCTGCGGCTTGCGGCTTGCGAGGCCGAGAAGAGGCTTCGTGGCTCGGTGCAGGAGGTGAGCAAGTGCGGGGGCCTGGTGTGTGTTCCGGGGCCAAAAACCAAGACCAAGAGGGCTTGTCTTGAGAGAAATCCAAGGATCGGCAAATGGCAAGGGTGTCCGTTTTGGTTTCCCTTTGATTGCCAACTGAAAGCTGGTCCATTTAAAAGAACTTTCATATGTTAACAACGAGCGTGCCAGTTTGCAAGTCACTGTTTTTCCTTTGAAAAAACGTGACACACAAGTCACTGAACATGTAATAACAATGATGATGATGATGATGATGATGATGATGATGATGATGATGATGATGATGATGATGATGATGATGATGATGATGATGATGATGATGATGATGATGATGATGATGATGATGATGATGATGATTAATATTAATATTATTATTATTATTAGTAGTAGTAGTAGTATTAGTATTATTATTCGTATTATTATTATTATTATTATTATTATTATTATTATTATTGGTAGTTTACTGCCGGTTTGGGGGGGGGGGCGGGGCAATCACCAAAAAAACATTTCCTGCCTTCTCCTGGGGAAGCACGTAATTTTGTCCATATAATATTGATATGTCAGCAAAAAAAGAAAGGTCGTGGTTCTTGTTGTAGTGGTTTCCCCACAAGGATCATGGTGCAAAGAACAATGCTGAGACTTTGCTGAGGACGGCTTCATGACCTCTGACACTGAAAGAGGGAAATGCAACACCACCCCTTTCAGGCAAGCCAGGCATTGTCGGGATGATCTTTTCCATCTGGAAGAAACATGCGCTCAACACATGCATTGTGTATTGTTTGCTTGTTTGCTTGTTTGTTTGTCTGTTTTTCTTCTTCTTCTTCTGTTTGTCTGCCTGCCTGTCTTGCTTGCTTGATTGATTGATTGCTTGCTTTCTTGGTTGGTTGGTTGGTTGGTTCGTTGGTTCGTTGGTTCGTTGGTTGTTTGTTTGACGCAGGTCATTTGAGCTCCGACACTCGGATGC